CGCGGGCCATCGGCGTGCTCTGGGCCATCTTCACCATCTGCTTTGCCATCGTCAACGTGGTGTGCTTCATCCAGCCGTACTGGATCGGGGACGGCGTGGACACCCCGCAGGCGGGCTACTTCGGGCTCTTCCACTACTGCATCGGCAACGGCTTCAGCCGGGAACTCACCTGCCGGGGCAGCTTCACGGACTTCTCCAGCCTGCCCTCGGGAGCCTTCAAAGCTGCATCCTTCTTCATCGGGCTCTCGATGATGCTCATCATCGCCTGCATCGTCTGCTTCATCCTCTTCTTCTTCTGCAACACAGCCACCGTCTACAAGATCTGTGCCTGGATGCAGCTGACCTCGGGTGAGTGGGGGCAGCGGCCCCGGCGCTGGGGGGCTCTGCGCCGTCTTGCCCGGCCCGGCCCGGTCCGGCCCGGCCCCGCGGGGCACGGGCGGCTCCAGAGAAACTTGCGGCCCGGGCCAGGAGGGGGTAGAGGAGCTGCAGGCGGGCAGGGGTGCCCCGGCGGGGCAGGTCGGGGAGGGGATTCCGGGGGTGCCGGGACATCCCGGCAGCGTTGCAGAGCGGTGCCGGTGCTGCTCCGGGCGGCCCTGCTGCCCTCCTGGGGACCGGGCGTGGGCCGAACCGGGCTCAGATCGCATCTCCTCGCACCCCTCCGAGGGTGCCCGAAGGAACCGTCCGGTTTGGGTCTGTGAACCGACCCGTGAGCATCACACCGCTCCCAGGCGGGCGGCCGGCTGTCCTGCAGCGTGTGGTCTGCTGGAAAGGTCAGGAGAAAATGGCAGTGGGGACACTCGGAGCAAGCGACGGGGGGTGAAGGCAGCTGCCAGCCTGTTGAAGGCTAGTCCCGAGCCCACGTTTCCACCTGGGCAAGGCAGAGCCACTTCGGCTCAGTGGGAGGGGTTGGCGAGGTTTTTTACTGGCGAACTGGAAGGGCAGCTGAGGTCGTTGGATGTGGCATTCATGAGTTTTGATTGGGGTCTGTTTTGTTTGCTCGTAAGGTTTATTTCCCGCTGTATAAGTGTGTTTAAAAAAATTAATTTCAGTTGCTGATTTTGTCTCAGAAGATCTGAATTCATTTGACTTTCCCCAGAACATCCCGTGTCTCCCTGGGGAAAGCATATGATAAAAAAGAGGGAGAACACCAGGACATCCCTTTTTACATTTCTAGCACAGCATTTCCTCTGAGTTAGTAGAGAACTGGTGATTTGTGTGCAGCTGGAAGGATAAGGAGTGGAAAAGAATGGTCTGTAGAGTTGAGATAGTAATAAAAGCACTTTTGGCAAGACAGAAAATACCAATTCTTCCACCATTTGGGAAGAAAAAGGCTAAAATCAAAGCATACCTTTTATGTGTCCTCCTGATAAAACCCTGAAATTGTTAAGTTTTGGTTTGCAGGAATAAGCTGTTAGGGAAACTGAACAAAATGTCTCCAAAATGGGCTCACAGTCACTTTTTCAGTCCCCTTAATTGACCTACATTCATTTCAGTTTTCTGAGCAATAATTCTTTTGAGTTTTTTGCTGAACAGCTTCAGCATTACTCAGTTTGCCACCTAGTCCATAAGACTTAGTGGAAATCCCTGGTTTGTATGAAACTGCTTTAACCATTCCTTTCTGTGATGCTTTTGTGTGTGTTATTATATATTTTTATGCTGTTTCTGTCACTGAAATTTCCTTATAATTTCTTTCTTTATCACTTGGGGATTGATTTCAGTCACTTGAGGGTGGTAGATTTTTCCCCAGTTTCAGTGAGTTTGGGTTTGGGTTCCTTATCTCTTCATTGGGAATCCTCTTTGATGCTGGTGGCTACTCTTGTCTATTTAGTGACATGCCTTCTGATATGGTCTGGTTAATTGTACACAGTCACGTCAGTTGGCTCTAGGCAGGGCAGACTGTTTCATCTTTGCACCGCTGATGTCTCCTCTGCTTCATTAAGGACTTCTGCTTTCACCTGTCTCCTCTCCTTATGGCTCTGCTGCTAAAAAGTAGCATAAATATTCACTGCTTTCGTGCATTTCAGCCTGTTTTGTTTCTGTCCAGTATGCAGTAGGACAGCACAATTTCCAAATCCCTTGCACTTTCCAACATCAGAGATAATGATGTTCTATTTATATGGTTCCACTTCTTCCTGCCAACAGACACTAGTGCAAGGTAGATAAAATGAATACTGCATTTCTCTACAGGTGAATAATAATGTTTAGAAACCACTGCATGCAGCTGACCTACTGGAGCCCAACCAGTCTGTACCATGCTGCACATGTGCAGGTGTGACACTGAAGATAAGCTTTCAGGCAAAGCAACACAGAATTTTTGTCATCTCCAAATCTAGTAGATGCACTGTTGGCATTAAAAGTTAATAAAATGAGTTTTATATCAGCAGAAGAATAATTTCTCAGACTGCTTCCCTCCAAAATTAAAACAGTAAGGAAATACATGTATAGCCAGGTGGTTATTGATCATCTTTCCCAATTTGTATCTGAATGCCCTGAAAGAACTAGAACAATGTTGGGTGGTGAAAGAGCCTGACTTTGTTGTCTGCTGAATGTTTTTCCTTAATTCAGCATTTACTTGACTGTTAATTTCTGTAATACCTAAAAAAGTTTCCTCAAAGGGAGAGAAAACTACCAGAAAGTCCATATAGGTTTGGGATTCATCCCTTGAGGAAGAAAACTTCTTCAAGGTTTGGGTGGTGGGAAAGAAGGAAAACTTAGAGTACAATGTGCAGGACAAGACAGTTATAATGGTAGGTTTTCTATGAGCTATATGACCTACTTCTGTTACTATTTTACTGTTTTGAGAGCATAAGTAATCGACAATAGTAATCTTAAGACACTTGTTTCACAAAAAACAATATAATAATGTCATCTACACATGCAAATATTTCGGTGTAGTACAGGAACAAAATTGAACCTGAGGTAGTAAAATAAACAAGTATGCAAGTATAGCTCTGATTTTGCTTGCTATTATGTACCTTCATAGTGTTAGCATTCAGTTAGATCATATAATACTTTAAATTTATGTAATTTAATTCTTCTGAGAATCAGGGTTCTGACGTGGGATCATGCTTAGTTTAGGATTGCAAATAAAAACTTAGGAACTCATTTCTTTAAAAGGAAGATTTTGATCACATTCTGTCCTGCATGAGTCATTATAAATTGTCAGCATGATAGAGCTCTTGTTTTGAAGAGGTGTTTTTTAAGTAAGGAAAAGATACACAATTTCTTGGACACAGGCATTTTCAGTCCTTTTTGCTATCTAATCATGTCCATGACTAGACATGTCTATGACATGATTAAGAAGAAAAATCCTAGGAAAAAAAGCTATTTCCTTTGTATATGTGAGTACAACATACATTAGATGACCGTATGATTTGGCCATGGCTTAGTCTGCTTGTTTTATTGCATGTGCCTAATGCTGTCAGGGTACACTTGATGCTTTGAGAGCCAGTGTTGGCAGCCTCGTTCTCCATCCCCTAGACTCCCCTTCTGCAATTGCAAGTCCATATGTACAAACACTTGCATGTACATTTAAATTTGAGCAGCTGCATGAACAGAAACACTTAGTGAAAACATTAGAAATTAGGTATTATTGTTCTTTATTACCCCACATCCAAGGGTTGCAAGAAACCTCACAAATAGAGATAATTGCTGAGATTTATTCTTTTACAAGTTAAATAAATTAAACACTTCAGTTCTGTCATTGTGATTTTTTCCATTATTAGACATTTGTCATTACTTTTTTCTTTACTAGGATGTTGCGTGTTACAAGAAAGAAGTAGAGAAAGCGAAACAAAGTGTCCCATGGACAAGTAGGATGAAATCCTACAGGAAGGCTCATCCCATGCCCACAGGAAGAGGACAGTCAAACATGAAACTTCTGTGCTTTGGCAAACCACAGGCCCATCTAGTCCAGTGATCTCTGACAGTGGTCTGTAATGTGGGCCCACAGAAGCATCAGAGCAGCTAAAACTCACTTTACACTCAGTACTTTCTATTCTCCAGCACTTGTACTCTGGGATTTCCTCAGATGGATCTTGGCATTTAAAAGCTCTTGCTGATATTTGTTTTGTTGAGACTTGGGTTGCTTTTTAACCTGTGTAAACTTTCATCATTTACAGTGCCCCAGAGCAAGGAGTTCCACAGCTTAATAGGTGCTGTGTAAAGATTCAGTAGTGATTTTTTTGTGTTTTAAACCTTTTGTCTGCCCATTTCATTTGATCCCCTTAGCTAAGGTATTTGAAGAAGCCATAAACAGGGGACTTGCAGATGCATTCCCTGTGCTGGCTCTGATTACACCTTTGCTGTATCCCCTCAGTTACCTGTTTTTGAGACCGCTGGGTTCTTGGTCAGACCTCAGTTGTTAGGTTGTACCATATTTGTGATCATCCCTGCTGCCCTGCCTATGACCATTTCCAGTCTATTGTATCTTTCAGAGGTGGTGGGACCAGAACTACACACAATATTCAAGACAGACAAACCAGCCATTCATATAGTAACTTAATAATATTCTCTCTTTCGTTCTTTGTTCCTTTCCTAGTAAGTACTAATACTTCCTTCTTCCCTATTAGTGAACAATGGGATGACGTTTTTGCAGAACTACCGATTATAACCCTAAGATCTCAGTCCTGAAGTGGTAATAGTCACCTTTGAGCATGTAATTTTGTGTAGTTAGGTTGTTTTCCCTTCAAAGAAATTTCTTCATATTTGTTTATTTACACTGACGTTAATTTGCCTTTTTATTTCCTAATCACTCGGTGTTGTCAAGTTTTTCTTCATAGTCAGCTCTTATCTTAGCTACCCTGAATGAGTATCAGCAGCAAACTTTGTGACCTCACCATTTACCCTGTTTTCCAGCTCATTTATAAATAAGTGAGTAGCTCCCAAGTTCCAGCACAGATCCCTGCAGGACTCCAGCACTGACCTCTCTCCACTTGAAAAATTGACAGTATTTTCCTACCATCTGTTTCCAATTATTTATCCTTACAAGGACATTTATTTTTATCCTCTGGGAGTTTAGGGCTTTTAAGACCGATGAATGACAGATTCATCAAATGTTTTTTGGAAATCCAAGTAGACTTTGTTAACAAAAATTCCAAAGGTACTTGTTGTTTTTTACATCTTTGGAGAACTCTAATAGTTTTGTGAAAAAATTATTTATAAGAGGTGTGTTGGTCCTATCTTACTCACTTCCTTTCATCACACAAATATTCCATGTTTGTACATGTGCTGGCATACACTGTTTCCTTCACAGTTCTACCAATTTATGTGGTGCAAGCCTCCGGCTTTCTGTGGTTCCCCAGGTTTTCCCTGGGCTTGTTTTTAAAACTTGTTTCCTATTACTCAAT